ACCTCATCATAGTCAACCATGTGGCCGCAATAATGGTCTATTTCAAGCTCCGAAGGGACTAGGCCGTAGTTGGATTTAACACCACATTCGCACATGACATGTGGTGCTTTGAAAATTACCCTTTCTTTCTTCCTTTTCTTTTCATTTTCCTTTGGCGGCTCCGGCCATTGATTCTTAGGACCATAGAGTTACTCCTTGAAACGACACTTCGCAAACACAAACACCTAAAAGAGGTGACATTAGTACATGAACACATATAGCTCAACATTTCAACAGATACACTGTCCACTTACTTCATGCTTATTTTGACACACAAACTCCAACGTATTCTCAGGGTTTATCACAGCTCGATCTCCGCAATAGCATAGAGGAGGTTCCTTGAGTCGTCTAACTATGACTAAGTGCTTCTCCTTAGCCGTCATTGGCGGAGGGTTAGGTGGAGGTGGAACCCACCGCTCGAAGTGCTCATGTGGATGTCTCCATCTTCAACAATCGTCGAAAAGGATGTACCTTGGGTTAAACTTGTCTGCACCGTCGATCCATCGGCGCTTTGCATCTGCTGCTAAGAAGATGTCTTGCGCGGCAAAGACCGCCATTGCCAAATCAGGGTCAGGCCCCCCTTCGCCACATCATCGCTTTTGCCGCACTTGCCGCCATGCATGGCGCGGGCGATTGTTTTTGCCATGGCCAGTGGCAATAGGCGCGGCCAAAAGTGTTAGATTTGAAAATAAAAAAAAACAATGTCAAATTTAGAAAATACTTTACAAAAGTGTTAAAAATAAAAAAATCGGGGAGACACAACAGGAGCAAAACCAAAGCACCATCTGATGGAACGAAAATGAAGGAGGCCGTCCTCGTCAGGCCCCACTGGACACTGGTGCACCACAAACATGTTCGTTTGGCTTGTGCTTGTCGTATACGATTGTAAATTTCCAGCCGGAATAATATTTTTCTCTCACACAAAACCAGCCAGCAGTACTTCTTTACGAACCAGCAACGATATGAACCAGCCAACCGAATAGGCTGATGACCTCCTCTGCCACAAGTAACAGAGACTTGCACATAATGCTGCTCAGTGTCCACTTCTCTCCATCTCACCCCCTGATCCGAAGATCGTTCCAATGGGCCTGTTTTTGGAAGGTTGCAATTTCATAATTAACTATTCCATTTGTATTAAAAAAATACCAGAAGAATTCAAATTCTAGAAGTGGTGCTAGCTCTTATTGCTAGAGCTACCAAAACTGTGCTTTAGATCATAATTAGATCTACCCAGTTAACAATTAACCGTTAAAAAATAAGCTGGAGTGGGTTTAAACAGACTTAGCTAATAACTCAATTGATTTTTATCCATGCACTTAGCTAACAACACTATCTTTTTTCGTTAATGATCGGCGTACATGGACGCTTCACTGAGACAAGTTGTCTACTTATGGCAAGATGAGCAGCTGCAACACATTCAAACAACTCTAATGTCGCGCCTCTCACCTCGCAAATCCTCTATCCTCCTCATGCATGGCCTGTCATAGTTGTAGCCAATCACCCACTTCTTTCTTAGAGCCTGTTTGGAACATGTAGATTGTTGCTAAAAACAATTCATAGCTTATAACTGAACAGGGATTATTCCATTAGTTATCTCAACCTAGCTAATAGCATCTAATAGATTACAAAAATATGCTTTAGTTCTCCCACTTACATCTGTCCACATGTTCTACTAATAACACATATACAATTGGCAGAATTATAGAAAAGAAAGGACATTATAGATATAAAACAGCTAATGCATCTATTTTTTAGCTAGTGGATCCAAATAATACCTAGCTAATAGATAGCCACCTAATAGTTATCTACTTATCTAACTAGTAATATTAGCTGTGAACTAGTATTAGCCAGCTAATACTGTAGTAGTTGCTAATAGATCCATACCTAAAACCTGGCCACAGAAGATCCTGGCTCCCTAGCGTTAAGGCGGGAACTCAGGGACAAAACCCCCGACGCGTCAGCGCACGGACGAGACAAAAAGCCGGCCGCGCTGCCAGCTGGCTCCTACGCCCCGCCAGCTCGGACCGCTCCCCTCGCGGGCCGTATCTCGCGCCCTCGCGCTCGCAGTGGCGGGAGCGCTGTTTCAGTTCGATGGCTTTCTCGTAATAAGGTACCGAAGCGGTGGGCTTTCTAGGCGTCAGGTACATGCTGCAGAGGCTCCAAAAGGACAAGACCATGGCTGCTTGCTCGCTAGTGTGCGTTTCTAACACATCGGCATCGCCCTAGTGGAGAAGAAACCTCCGCTCTCTGGGTCAGGTTCTCGCTGAGCACGCGATTCACCCATCCTTTCAGTTTCAGGTAACCTCCTCCTCCTCCTCCCGTGTCTTGGTCTGGATTTTGATTTCCATCTGCTGCTGTTGGCTTTTGTTCCCATGAGTTGATTTGATCTGATAGGTTGCTGTGCTTGCTTCACTAGTTCACTGCAACCGGTTTGCGATCTCTGATCATGCTTTGTTTTTCTTTTCTTTTCTTTTCTTTTCATTTCGTCAGATCTTGTTTCGGGTTCAACAGGCGTGGGAGAGACTTACAGAGCAGAGCTTGAGAGGCGACATTTCGGCGGTATGTTCTCTTGATTTTCTCAGTTTTTATCTGGTTTGTTGTTTCCCCGATTAAGCGTGCTGCTGTGACGTTCTTGCTCTTGCGGTAGTCAAGAAATTTCTGTGGGAACGTGTGTGGGCTGTGGGGGGTGTCAGGTGTGCGTTCCTGGATGGATAGTTGTGGCCTTGTGGGCCTGCACGTTCTGATGTGGCAGCTGACATGGATCGCTGCAGAAGCTTAAGATTACACCAGAAGCATATCTTTCTCTGTTCCAAGTCTTAGCCTTCGTTGCCTCTTCCATGTTTGTCTTCCTTTCTGGATATGTGATTATATCTGCGGAGTGGTTGGCACTTGTCAGTCGTCACTCGTTAACTTCTGTGTTCATTCATGCATTAGTTTTCTGAATATTCCTTCGCTAGCTGGGACCCGCATGTTTGTTACCACTGGTTGCGATTTCATAAGACAAAATACTTTGCGCTGGTCTTTCCCCAATCAGTTCGCATATGAGCACTGTACTGGTATTATGCAATGAACAATACTGGGCGCACGCCAGAACCGCCCCATATGGCATTTCAAATAGGGTACGACCCTTTCAAATATGCATCTGAACTTAGGCAGTTTTTTTTACAACATTTTTTAGCAACAACTTACGCAGTTATGCTGCCCAAGAGGTTGGGCGACGACGAGACTTGGTAGATGAAAATGGATACATAAAATGTTTATAATGTACTCATCCAGATTGCAATTTGGCTCAGTCAGACTCTGGTTTTGAGATGGCCTTGCAGGCATAGAAGATGAACATATCCATGCTTCTCAGAGGCTACAATATCTGTATGAGTACATTATAAACCTCTCTATATATCGAATTAAAAAAACATCTCTATGTATCCATATGGTTATTTAGTAGTACTGTGCATGCTAACATAAGACAGCAGATATATGCCACTATATTGCTAGTGCAATGAACTTCCTAAGTGTCTTTCACAAATAATCAGTTTATTATCTAAACAAGAGTACCTTAGTCTTAATATATGCTGTTAATGATAATGCTGTGGTAGACTGGTAGTTCATAAAAAATTCTTTTCTTCTGTAAAGCATGATTTGCCAAGATCCAAAATGCAAAATGTAATTCCGTTTTTTTTTTACTTCCTATCTTCCAGGGCACCAACCGTGGCACCCTATCTGCCTCTTCTGTCACTGAAGTTACATTTTCACTACCCAAATATTGTTTACTCATGATGTAAGAAAATTATCCTAAAAATCCCACGGTGTAGTTGACGTTTTGTAAATTCCGCTGCGTTAAGCAATTATTTGATTAAAAGATCACTTACAATACATGCCACATATCACTGCATACAAATGAAGAAGACCATGGTGTAACAACATGCCTCCAGGGAAACCAGTTATATGTAACTTTAAGACCTCAAAACCTAAACTATGTTGCTCATCATTTGGAGTACATATTAGTTACAGAACATGAAGTTCATACTTGAAATGTTTGACATTCTACTTCGTCTTAGTGCGATAGGATCAACGTCAAAACAGCTTACTGGTGCTACTAATTTTGGCTCCAAATTCTGCATACGAGCTTCACAAAGCAATGCCTTTGTGCATTCTGGAAATATACCTGTACATTCAACTCTCCAATTTTGCTAACTTGGTGATATACACCCCTTCAAAGACGTTCAATCTTTTCCAATTTACACTTATTCAGCTTTGTGTGCAGAGAGTATTTTCAATCATTAACTAGTTAAACCATTTCCATTGAAAAAGCTATATTTGTTTTCTTGATTTTTTGTATATCTTTTTGCTATTCTAGATGAGATATTATCCACGGATGACTTCCTATTCATTATTTTCCTTACCTTTTTACCCATTCAGGAGCAAAGCTAATCAGGAGTTGCAGCATGATATGCCCTCAATTATGATCAATTTGGTCTGAGGAAGATTTTCTGCAAAGAAATAGTAAAGCTAAAGCTTGTGGATACAAGAACTTCAGCATGACGAAGAAACACAAAATTAGAAAGTCCATGCATCTTTTAGAGAGCAAAAAGGGTATTCTCTTAATTCAAGACTAATATTTACTCAAATGAATTTTTATGTACATACAGGGATCTCAAAGTGCCTTTATAAATGAAATTGTTTCGCGTCAAGAGAATATAACTACTTATCTACTTTTTTTTTGCCATTCTGTTTGGCTAATCTCAATGTGATTACAATACCAGATGAACATGCCTGAGTCATATGTGTCCAGTTTTCATCATTAAAATGCTTTTGATACAGCTAAAATTGCATTGTTTTAGAAGAACTCTGCCTTGTTCTTCAACTAATGGTTCTCCTGTTTCTAGCGAGCCGTTGTCTGAAAACAATAGTGTTATTTTGTTTTTTCAGATGTTGATGAAAATGTGGAGAACATTTTAAGAATGATAGGAGAGGAGAACGAACAGACTGAGAATGAACAAGATGATTCTGGAAATCCCGTCAAGAAATCAAAGCTATCTTTCCTTGTGAAGGGCTTCCATGAGGACTATCAATACCTTCACAAGCACTACAAACAGCTAATTAGCAAACTAGAAACTGTTGGCCACAGTTCCTCAGGTTCAGATTCATCTGATTCAGACGCGGAAGGAGACGGATCAGACAATAATGTAACTACACCAAAAGTAGTGTTGAATGAAGAAAATGGCCTGAACCATAAGCTTGATGAGGATCATAGCATGGAAGCAGAAATTGAGAAGCTAAAACAAAGTACAGAACAAGCCAAGGAAATATCTGATCTGAAGCAGCTACTAGAAAAAGCAATCAAGGATAAAGAAGCTACAAGAGGAGAGTTAAGTTTAGAGGTTGCAAATTTGTCATCGGAGAATGAAAATCTGAAATCATTAGTTGAAACTGCAAAGAGGGAGGAAGGAGACTTGCTTAACATCATAAAATCTACGGAGAATGAGGTCAAAACATTGTCTAGTGAGAAGCAAACTATTGAAGAAGAGAGAGATAACCTGAAGATGTCAATTGTAGACATGAAGAAGGAGATGGAAGATCTGAGGAATCAGCTGAAAGATACAGTGGATAAATGCTGCGTCATGACATCAGAAGTAGAGAAGTTCCTGAAGGCTGAGAAAGAGGTGCAGACCTTGTTTGAAGAAAACCAGAACCTGAAGAACCATAACCTGATGCTGTCGGTGGAGCATGATAACCTGAAAACACTTCATCATAACTTAGATATTGAGTGCTCTCAACTGATGGCAACCATTGTGGAAGCCAAAGCTGAGAATGAATCATTGACCACAGAAAATCATTCAGCTGAAAGAAAACTCCAGCAACTGAGGGTGGAAATAGATGGCCTGAAGGCTGAGACCACAGAGATAATGAACAATCTGGACAAGGAACGTATTACTGCAGCAGAAGAAAAAGAAAGGCTAACAACAGAAAATTCTATGTACTTGAGTGAGTTAGAGGAGGCACAGTCTAATGTTAAGGATCTAGAAAAGGAACTGGAGTCAACAAAAAGTGTTCTCAATAGTCATATTGCGGAGCTACGGAAGGAGAAGAATTATGCCACATCAGAGATAGAGCGGCTAGAGTCTTCTTTGCAGAATCTTGAGAACGATCTGTCACAGCAACTTGATAGGATTTCAGATATGCAGAAGACTAATGAAAACCTGGAGCTGGCAAATTCTAACCTGCATAATGAGATAGTACAAGTACAAGGACAAAAGAATGAAGCTGTTGCTTCTATAGTTAATCTCGAGAGCATGTTAGAACAGCAAGTACAGGAGATTTCAAATCTTCAGGAGGCTAACAAGGACCTCAAAGCAGCAAAGACCGATCTGTATAATGAGGTTACGGTACTTCAACAGGAGAAAATTGTAGCACTGGCTCAGTTACAAGAATCTGAGGCTCAAATCAAGAATCTTCGGAGTGACTTGGAACAGCAGCGCAACCAAATTTCAGTTATCCAGCAAGCAAGTGAAGAAATGCAGGATAAAAATTCTAGCTTGCACAAGCAACTGGAAGAAACTAGGACTAATCTGCAAGAGGAGATCATTGCATTACAAGTAGAGAAAGAAGAGGCCATCTATAGCTTACAGCAGTCAAATGATTCACTCAAGACCCTAGAAGTCCAGTTAGAGCAGCAAAGAGAAGAAATTTCTGTTCTGCAGCTTGCTCACGAAGACTTGCAAAATAGCAATTCCAACCTAGAGATGCAATTGGAAGAGGCGAAGGTTAGTCACCATGCTGAAATTTTAGCATTAGAAGATGAAAAGAACAAGATTATTTCAGAGTTGCAGCAGTCCGATGGTTGTATCAAGAACCTTAGAATTGAGTTGGAGCAAGGAAAAGAGCAAACCTCAATCTTGCATCATGCTAATGAAGATATGAAGAATAACATTTCTGTCTTGGACAAGCAATTGAAGGAGGTCAGGAGCAGTTTGCATGCTGAAATTGCAGAAGTACGTGCAGAGAAGGACACAGCTCTATCAGAGTTACAGATGTCTCAGACTTCCGTCAGGAACTTGGAGAGTGTGCTAGAAAAGCAAAGCGAGAACATTTTAACTCTAGAACAAGCTAATCATAAGTTACACAATAAAATATGTACCTTGACAGAGCAAGCAGAACAAGCCAAGGCTGAGCTGCATAAGGAGGTAGCGGCAATAAAAGAAGAGAAGGATATAGCACTAACACAACTAAGGCAGTCAGAGATTTCAATACAAGATCTTGAGAATGAGGTGACACGACTGAAACAGGAACTTTCAATTCAGCTGGAAAAAAATTCCACCTTAGACAAGCAATTTGAAGAAGTCAGGAGCAGTCTGCATGCTGAAATTTCAGACCTACGTGCAGAGAAGGACACATCTCTATTAGAGTTACAGATGTCTCAGGCTTCTGTCAGGAATCTTGAGATTGTGGTTGAAAAGCAAACTGAGAACATCTCAACTCTACAACAAGCTAATGATGAGTTACAGAAGAACATCTACACTTTGACTGAGCAATCACAACAAGCCAAGGTGGAGATGCAGGATGAGTTGAAGGCAATACAAGAAGAGAAGGATGCAGTGCTAACACAACTGAAGCAGTCAGAGACTTCAGTACAAAATCTTGAGAATGAGGTGACACAACTGAAAGAGGAGCTTTCCATCCAGCTAGAAAACAATTCCTCCTTGGACAAGCAGTTTGAAGAAGCCAAGAGCAATCTGCATGCAGAAATTTCAGACCTACGTGCAGAGAAGGACACATCTCTATTAGAGTTACAGATGTCTCAGGCTTCTGTCAGGAATCTTGAGATTGTGGTTGAAAAGCAAACTGAGAACATTTCAACTCTACAACAAGCTAATGATGAGTTACAGAAGAACATCTACACTTTGACTGAGCAATCACAACAAGCCAAGGTGGAGATGCAGGATGAGTTGAAGGCAATACAAGAAGAGAAGGATGCAGTGCTAACACAACTGAAGCAGTCAGAGACTTCAGTACAAAATCTTGAGAATGAGGCGACACAACTGAAAGAGGAGCTTTCCATCCAGCTAGAAAACAATTCCTCCTTGGACAAGCAGTTTGAAGAAGCCAAGAGCAATCTGCATGCAGAAATTTCAGACCTACGTGCAGAGAAGGACACATCTCTATTGGAGTTACAGACGTCTCAGGCTTCTATTAGGAATCTTGAGATTTTGGTTGAAAAGCAAACTGATAACATTTCAACTCTACAACAAGCTAATGATGAGTTACAGAAGAACATCTACACTTTGACTGAGCAATCACAACGAGCCAAGGCGGAGATGCAGGATGAGTTGAAGGCAATACAAGAAGAGAAGGATGCAGTGCTAACACAACTGAAGCAGTCAGAGACTTCAGTACAAAATCTTGAGAATGAGGTGACACAACTGAAAGAGGAGCTTTCCATCCAGCTAGAAAACAATTCCTCCTTGGACAAGCAGTTTGAAGAAGCCAAGAGCAATCTGCATGCAGAAATTTCAGACCTACGTGCAGAGAAGGACACATCTCTATTGGAGTTACAGACGTCTCAGGCTTCAATTAGGAATCTTGAGATTTTGGTTGAAAAGCAAACTGATAACATTTCAACTCTACAACAAGCTAATGATGAGTTACAGAAGAACATCTACACTTTGACTGAGCAATCACAACGGGCCAAGGCGGAGATGCAGGATGAGTTGAAGGCAATACAAGAAGAGAAGGATGCAGTGCTAACACAACTGAAGCAGTCAGAGACTTCAGTACAAAATCTTGAGAATGAGGTGACACAACTGAAAGAGGAGCTGTCCATCCAGCTAGAAAACAATTCCTCCTTGGACAAGCAGTTTGAAGAAGCCAAGAGCAATCTGCATGCAGAAATTTCAGACCTACGTGCAGAGAAGGACACATCTCTATTGGAGTTACAGACGTCTCAGGCTTCAATTAGGAATCTTGAGATTTTGGTTGAAAAGCAAACTGATAACATTTCAACTCTACAACAAGCTAATGATGAGTTACAGAAGAACATCTACACTTTGACTGAGCAATCACAACGAGCCAAGGCGGAAATGCAGGATGAGTTGAAGGCAATACAAGAAGAGAAGGATGCAGTGCTAACACAACTGAAGCAGTCAGAGACTTCAGTACAAAATCTTGAGAATGAGGTGACACAACTGAAAGAGGAGCTTTCCATCCAGCTAGAAAACAATTCCTCCTTGGACAAGCAGTTTGAAGAAGCCAAGAGCAATCTGCATGCAGAAATTTCAGACCTACGTGCAGAGAAGGATACATCTCTATTGGAGTTACAGACGTCTCAGGCTTCTATTAGGAATCTTGAGATTTTGGTTGAAAAGCAAACTGATAACATTTCAACTCTACAACAAGCTAATGATGAGTTACAGAAGAACATCTACACTTTGACTGAGCAATCACAACGATCCAAGGCGGAGATGCAGGATGAGTTGAAGGCAATACAAGAAGAGAAGGATGCAGTGCTAACACAACTGAAGCAGTCAAAGACTTCAGTACAAAATCTTGAGAATGAGGTGACACAACTGAAAGAGGAGCTTTCCGTCCAGCTAGAAAACAATTCCACCTTGGACAAGCAGTTGGAAGAGGCAATGTTGAAAGTGTCAAACCTACATGAGAATCTTGAGAAGGCCCAGGCTAAAGCAGCTTGTCAACTTGATGGCATGAGTACAAAAAATAAAGATCTGGAGAAGACAATCGATCTATTGTCTTCTGAAAAGACTAAGTTGGAGAAGGATCTGAAAATTATGATTGAAGCATGCACAGAAAACATGTCATTTCTGGCAGGATTTGAAGATAGAGTTACAAAAAAATTTCTGATCATGAGGCAGGACTGAAGGTTCTCCACCAGAGCCTTAGGGGGGCTGTTGGTAGCTGTCAGAGGCTTCAGCATGCATATGATGAGGTGTCCACAAGGGCATCACATCTTGAGATACTTAAGAGGAGTCAGATGGAGCAGATAGATCAGATGGAGCAGAAAAACACAGAAACTGTGAACAAACATCGGCTTCTGGAAGAGGAAAAGTTATCTGCAAATAAGGAGAATATTAAGCTACAAAAGCATGTCCAAGACCTTGAAGTTCAGCTCCAGCTAGCAAAGCAGAAGCTTAAAGTTACTGAAGCAGAAAGCAAATGCAAAGAAGAGAGATATGCAGCGGCAGTGGAAGCGTTGCGGGCAGAGATCCGTCATCTTGAACAATCAGTACAGCAGTTTTCAGGGAGAGTCAGCTTGCTGGAAGGAACTCTCCTGCAAGTTAAAGGACATGCTGAATCAGGGGTCTCTAAATGGGCTGACAAATTGGATGAGCTAGAAACACTCTTCAGTCAGAATTTTGTGCTCTTCATTGACCGCTCATCTGCATGTAGTGACGAGCTTAAAGTCTTAAGGAAGAAGGTACATGATCATCTTAATGAACAGAAGGAACTTGCCAATGTGAACAATGAGCTGGCTATTAGGTTGAAAGAGAAAGAAATGGTGGTGTCAGAAATGGTGAAGAGTGCTGCAGAGGCAGAGGCAAAGATGATCCAGCTCGAGAAGACAGTGGACGAGAAAGAAGACGAGCTAGCAGCTAGAGTGCAGGAGAAGAGAGAAGCCATCAAGCAGCTGAGTGACACCATTGTTTACCACAAGAACTATAGCGATGACCTGGTGCGCTACATCCGCAGTCAGAGTCGCCCTCGCCTCCCGTTCTGCCTTTAAATTTGAAAGTCAGTGAAAGAGGCTTCATTCTTGCTGTGAATTTTTGCAGTAAGGAGACCATTGCCATTTTTCTTATGTATCATATATAGGGCTCAAATACTTTCTGGAGGTAGTCATATACTCATATTCAGTGGCTTGTGCATTCTATTCGCTACTAAGGGGGCTACTGTAGTAATTAATTTATTCGTTTTGCCTTATCTTTTTATTGGACGGTCAACATACTGGTTGAGACTGCGAAGGAAGTCTCAAGAAATATTCAGGTTTGCAGTTTTCAATCCAATTTCGCACAGGAAGGTAACACGGCTAGTAAAGAATCTTTGCCACACATTTTTGCTGTTCATGACAGATTGCAGGATTGTCTTTGTTCTTTCTCAGTTTTGGTTCAGATTAGTCACTCCCCTGCAAACTCAACATGCATTGGGGGCGTATGAAAACTATCACCAGTAGCAATCAATTACAAAAGGCTCCAAGATGAGGGAAGTTTCTTACTGTACCAACGCTTGCCATTATAAACCAGTATAGTATTTTTCTCCCTCAACAAATCAACCATGTAAATCAGCACAAACGGCTTACAAATCAGAGCAAACGGCTTATAGACCAGCCGAATATGCCATACCTGAAACTGCGTTGGGTCGCAGGCATACCTGAAACTGCGTTGCGCCTGTGCGGTCATTGGCTTGTGAGTTGTGACGAGCTCGTTGTAGGGTCGGCTTGCGCCAACGCGGAGCGCGCATCGTGGTGGCAAACGCGTGGCGGCGCACGCCATTGCAGGCAGGGGCTCCGGGCGCCGGCGGCGCGCGTGCTGGGAGAGCAAAACGGCTGCGTGAAGCTGGAGCGGGGAGACACAGGTAACGAAGACACAAGCCACTAAGCCAGCGATGGAGGCGGTTGCGCGCGGAGCTTGGCAAAGGCGAACAGGCAGGGCGACGGAGCCCCGCCGGCCACGGCTGGTGCCGCCGTGTGCTTGCAGGCCGTGCCGTTACCGCAGCCCCGTTGGTGCCTCACTCGTTCTCCTGTTGCGCCGCCGGTAGCCCACCTACAAGAACTGGGCTTGGTGGGTTCGTAGCCACGACAGGCCCATACTTGAGATCACAGCGACACTGACTATACGGCCCATGTTGTCTATGCAAAACTGTTGGCTTATGCTGTCCTCTCAAAATAGAAAAACTTCACAAACGAAAATAGCGTGGACCATGCAAATACGACGTCATGTCTGTTCCTTGGAACATGAGATGGATACTACAACTAAACTTTGATCGTGAGATGAACATCTTGTCACAGATAAATGACATTTTAAAATTATATCTATCGACGATTCTAAACTTTAATCATTATATTCTTATATCTCTGTAAAATATAGAAAACGTATATTTCTATGAACCTATTCTTTTTAAGACAAGTCCACCAGTATCACTTTTAATCCAAACATCAAAATCAACACGTAAAAGTAATTTAGGGTAAAAATTTAGATGATTGCCCTTACCTTGTCTGATTTGGAATGTCCCATGCGAGGATAATTATACTAGAGTAAATTTTACGCGTGGTTCTCGAACTTGTCTCGAGTTCTCATCAAAGTCGTGGTACTTTCACATTGCACGTTAAGCTCTATAAAACTTGTCTCAAGTTCTAATCCCTATCCTGGTACTTGCAAACTGCATGTGCGACGGCGGAGAGGAAGGAGTGCAGTGATGGTGTTGAACGGGACTGTCGTGAGGCAGGGGCTAGTGCCACGGTGAGGTGGAGTAGGAGCGAGTCAAGCATAATTGAGGAGGGCCACGGCTGCGAAGGCTCAGCTAGGACATGTGGTAGGGCAAGCGATGTAGCAGGCCCTAGGAAGCTAGGTCTGCACATTCCTCCTGAGCTCGCACCGTATGCTATAATCATTGGGGGTGGACGAACACGGTGCAGCGTGCTATGGCCGCACGAGTGTGGCGAGCACATGTAATGCAGTGTGGGAGAAGAGAATGGACCAGTATAGCGTAATAATACATGTTTAAGATGTTACGTGTGTATTTTAATAGTATCGGAACTGGGATAAGAACTTGGAACAAGATTAGAGAGCCGAATACGTAATTTAGAAATATTAGGATCTAGTTGAAAACTCAGAACAAATTTAGAGAGCTAAATATGTAATTTGAAAAAATCGTAACCTAGACAAGAACTTATGATAAGTTCGAAAACCGTCGGTAAAATTTACTACTATGACCAGGTACACGTACGGAAAACTGCACGACCAGCGCAGCCACATACATACGAGTACTGTAAGAAGAAGTAACAGTCGCAAAGCGAAGTTTGAACAGTTCCTTGTCCTTTCCTGCCTTGCTAGTTGCTAGTACTCTGATAGGGGTCCGGATAGTACTGTCTGCACTAGTGGCAGGCAATCTATTTTCTTTCTTTACCTCTTAAAAAAGGCATTAGTATTTCGCCGGTCGTCGCGAGCTGTACTCTTTAGTTTCGCTATTTGCTAGTTAGTTTTCACAGCGAGCAAGGAGAATATATATGGAAAAGTTAATTAAGCTGAACCATGGATTTCTTTCCCCCCCGACGATATGCACTAGTGGTAGTCTGGTGCTAGCTTATCTGTAGCACTAGTTCGGACGAATGGGTATGTAATAGAGATAGGTTAAGCGAGCTTTCATAGATCCTTAATTTGTGAGGAATGGGAGAGGCAGCATGACGCATGGTTTATGTACTCACCTTACCATAAGCACCGACCATTCCACGGTGATGTAAGGGAAACCGGTCTGTCTCCGTGATGACTACTCAACCAAGTATACCGGTGGCCAGTCTAACAGGAGGAAGTAATGAGTCGCTGATATATACGGCCCAGGCCAGAGGACGATCAACGTACGTGCTTTGACTGTGTAGCCAGTGTAACTCCAGACACTAGTTATCTTGCTTGCGCAATATATTAGAGTACTCCTATGATGCATGCATGCGTCGGTTTCTGTCCGTTTCCCCAGCCAATTCACTTTCTCTGTCACGTTTAGTCCGCCGATCGATTTTGTTCCATCGCCAGCACTTTTCCGCGATGAGTTCATGTTTTTTCGCCGGTCTGGGTCTACCGGCTGGGTCTCGCGGAGACTCCGACCGAGACTGGTCTGGTCCACGATCAACGCAGTCTAGAAGCCATATGACCAAACTAGCTAGCTCTATCGGTAACTACATGAGAAGATATTATTCATTTATTCACCTAACACTGACAGTAATTAATCTCCGTACTACAGGGACTTTATTTGGAAGGTTCTGTATATAGTGACCTAGTATGGCTAACTCCATACATACTACTCCTACGGTGTGAACTGCATGCATATGCGTATACAGCAGAAAGGTGTGTCGGGTCTTTGCCGACAAACGATTCAACATGGAAACGGTCCGCGAATGTATATATCCGATAATATACTCTCTCTCTATGTCTCTTATTTCGAACATAATTAAATTCAGTACGCGCGTGCTACCGAATCTTTGAAGGTATTCTAGTATAGATATCTTAAATTTCTGTTATATAACATAGATTGCTACAAAATCAATATTATCTTAAAATCGTCAGATATATAGGGCAATCAGTATACATGAAAATACGATATGCGTTAATTTCGGGGCGAACTAGAGTATATATAGGCACATATTGTTCTGTTCACTGGTAGAGAACCGAGCTTTACTCCCGGTGGGGAACCCCCTCTAGTCTCGATTCCCCACCCGGGAGCAAGCATCCGGGACTAAAGGGGGGGGTCTTTTAGTTCCGGGTCAGAAACCGGGACTAAAGGAGGACCTTTAGTTCCGGTGGGTAACACCAACCGGGACTAAATGTGCCTCGACGACATGCCACGATGGCGCCGGCATTTTAGTCCCGGTTAGTATACTGAACCGGACTAAAGGTTTTTTTTTTTTTTTTTTTTTTTTCTTTTCATTTTTTTTTTTCTTTTCAAAATAGGTTTTCGAAATCGTATTGTACTGCTGCTAATTATACATTTATCTGCGCCGCATATAGTATGTTTCGGTTCAAGCACAATGAACGTATTAAATCACACAATTCAAGCATAGAAATATATATATATATATATATATATATATATATATATATGAATGCATGCATCATATATATATTTACATGCATGCATGCATATGTGTATTTTACATTATATTATTTCATGTGCATATATTACAAAAGATTGCATTACAGTTGTTGTGACATAACAAGTTTCCTCTCATCCTCTAGCTTGGCTTCAATGGCGGTGTTGGGTGAAAGTAGAACTCGCCCTTGGAATCGATGACCTGCTCATTAAAAAAATCCGCTATAGACTCTTGAATTGCTTTGATTTGGTCTTGCCGTATGACCTTTTCCTCCAACCATCGAGTCTACATGTTTGAATTAAAGGAAAATAAATTAATATATGTACATATATATATATATAAAGACATAGTAACACAATCAATAATAATAATTAAATGAATATATAGTGTATTTTTAACGTACTTTTTGAGTCTCTCTCTCCGTAGGAGTTCTTTGGGAGAGCACCTTGATAAACTTGCAAACATAGTAACCACATGGTTGTTCCCTGTTCACTGCCTTAGACACCACTTTACGAGAAAAAGATTTGTCATCCAATCTGGTGATCCGGTGAAAGCTATATGTTTAATTAATAAAGATGATGCGATTCGTGGGACTTACTTTCAAAGGGATTACATTCGGTGGCGCTTTGCATTTTTCCATGTGTTGCTTCTCAATAAAGGTTTTCCAAACACCGCCTAATAAAAAATTTGCCACGTCATCGAGATATAGTTAATCATCATGTTTGTGTGTATATATAGTTGCTAGAGATCCCGAAATTACCTCTGGATAATATCTATCATATCTTGGTAGTCTTGTTGTGGTTTTCTCATCGAGTCATAGATTATCAAGTGACTTTTCACCGGATCGATGTCCATCAATATCCAATTGATTGCTGCATGTGTTTATAGGATATAACGCATAACACTCATTAATTAACTAGAATCAA